ATAAAGCATGATTCAGTGTTCACGTGCGACGGCGCGGTGGCTTATTATCCGAACTGCTAAGCTTTCAGGAGTTACACGTGCTATTGTGAGTTAACCATAAGGCGTTAGGTGAGAAGAAGGAATATTTTATACTAGCTTTTGCCCGCGACTTTGTTCGCGTGGAATAGTGACTTCCTGCTAATTTTTGGTTTAAAAGATAGACATTTGCTGTAAAACATTTTTTTTTTTCGGAATTTTATGTAGAATATTTCCGTCATACATAATTTCACCAACGACACAGGAGAAAATCCTAGTGTGGGGCAACGTTTTAAATAAAAAACAAAAAAAAATCTCCCGTTTTCCCAACATTTCCCTTTACTGCTCTGCTCCTATTATTTGTAGCGTGATAAAAGTATCCTATAACCTGCCCAGGAGTACCTACAAATAATAATTGTACCACGTTTTGTTAAAATCCGTCGAGTAGTTTTTGTTTCTACAGTTGTATGTCTTATGTTGTATAAGGAACATACAGACAGACAAAAATTTTACTGATTGCATTTTTGGCTTCAGTATCGATCACTTATCACACCCTGGTAGTTATTTTGAAAATATATTTAATGTACAGAATTGACCTCTCTACCAGATTTATTATAAGTGGGTACCTATAGATATAGATTTTTAATGTAAATTCACCCAGACGTGATAGTACTGAAGTAAAAGCAGTCTATGATAAAAGCATTGCAAACTTGTACATTTGAGATGCGGCGATTTGTGCCAATTTGGAATCGGTTCGCAGGAACGGCTGCAGGAGCGGATCCAAGGCATGCAGAATACTATCGACAACATCCAGAAGGAGCTGACGGGACGCTTGGCAGCGCCCAAACTGGCGGCAGAGGAGTGCGAGCCCCCCGAACTAGACGAGGCGCCGGTATCAAGGCGCGCGGACGACCCGGTGTTCGGGTTCCTCAGTGATGGCAGCGTGGACGGCGACGCACTGGACGTGAGTGTAATCTGTTCCAGCACAGTGCAGCGTGTGTAGTGGGTGTTAGCGGACATAGAGGGACGAAGCGCGTTAGCATACCCCTTCCCGATTTTACCATCCGCGTCGTGTCTATGTGTGAGTTACTTTTGTATACTGCACACTTGCGCGTGTTCCTGCTTACGTACAGTCGAGCTCATAGTTAATAATAATTGTTTTGTAAAGTTTGTTTCTGTTATTATTCCCATAAGTTTTAATTGTTATTAACTCTTCTTTTATAACACCTAAAATATTCAAATTATAAAAATAATTAAATGTAACTCAAAGTATTGTGAAGTTGAGTACCTGCACTCGCAGCTAACTTCAGAGCCACTATTGAGTTTGAGTCGTACTGTAAACAGGTGCGCGAGGTGGGGCGCAGGTTCGAGGCGCTGCGCGGCGGCGGCCGGCTGCGGACCGCGCAGGTAAGTACGTGCGACCTCAACACCTCAAGCTCTGAAATCCACTTATACACTCTACAGGCAGCCAGTCCACACATACATTCCTAGTTGGTAGCTGTTTGCGTGGTAGTGTCGTATATGGAAGTACATACCTACACACTCCGGCACACAGGCATCCCATGAAAGATACTACTTGGCGCAACTTCTACCTATCTATTTCTTTAACTTAAGTTAATGGTCGATTTCAAGAGCCGGTTTCAACAAAAATCTATGGATTAGGATAATTAGGTATATATTCTAATTAGAAAATTTTCCTTCGCCGTTTGACAGCGTTGGTCTATAAATATAATCATAAAAAGTTCTACAAAACTCAGAAACAGTCACATTGGTACTTGTCAGGGTTCGAACCCGGGCGCCTTAACCTCTGGGCCACCACAATTTGTCACGTCGTACGCATTGTCTACCATCTGATCAGGCATAACAACTGAAAACGGGTTTCATTTTATATATAGGTATAATATACTATATGTATATGTGCGTCTTGCAGCGTGCCTATTAATTGGGTATACCCAACAATATATAGCTAATTAATATTAAAAAGGTAACCAGAGATTATAATTTTGGTCTAGTCGGATACCTAGTGTAGATAGTATTCTGCTTATGTATTAAATAAAAATCTGTTTTCATTTGACAGGGCTCAATATCGCTGTCACAAGTTAAAGATGACTTGAAAATAAAGAATCGGTCATTTTTTAAAACAAAGCGTTTCGATAGTAAGACTAAGAAGTACAAGCAATAAAGATACGAGTCGTGTCGAGAGTCATCGTCTGATTCACTTATCAGCCGACATAATATTTACTTTTCATTACAAATACTTACATAGGTACCTACAGCTCAATTTCCTAATTACTTTGTCATAAATTTTAATACTATTAAATACTAATTAATAACTATGGATTCGTTATGTGTTTCATTGCCTAATTAATAGATTAATAATAATACAACTTTTTTTACATCTTGTGTGTAGTGTTAATAATCTGAAGTATTAGTGCAAGGGTTCCTCAAAATACATTCATTAGTTTTTGCGTGAGCAACAAAAAAATGTCTTTACAAAGTAAGTAATATTAGAAGAATTATAAATATAAATAAGGTCTATAGCACCGCTAATTTTAGCGGGTTTAAAGGTTTAGCAAAGGAAAGAAACATCAAAAATCATAATTTTAATTATTTGCTTTGGTTGGTGTTTTGGATATGCTTGGGATGTTATGAAAATAAGGGTTAAATAGTATTATGCTTGCTTGCATATTTTATATGAGCAAATTAAAGGAAAGAGAGAGAAAGGCTGCCTCCTCTCTCCCCTCCCGCAGCAGACGCACTAGACGTCGTATGGTGGCCGACCTGCGGCCACTGTAGGGCGCGGCCTGCGGACGACAGACTCGGGGCGTCTCGTCGTCCGACCGGCAGCAGGCCTCGAGGCGTCGTCGGCGCCGTGTTCCGCGCGCTTCATAGTGAAGTCCTGTGGTCAGACAGGACGGTGACGGGGCCCGCCTGACTACCTGGCGGGCTTATACCCGTCAGGGGATGGGACGAATGCTTCGGCGATTGCCACCCCTCCGACACATGTGTAAATGGAGGAACTCCGGGTTGGTTTTTTGTCACTAAGAGTCTGACAGTAGGTACCCTCCGCCCTTCCCCGAGGGCGGGCGATGGGTCTCCATAAGGATTTTCCAAACCGATACAAAAAAAAAAAACGGTTCTGCCCGTGTTTGGGTAGCACACTCAGCGATGAGTGACTTGTTCCCTTGTGATGATTGACTTGTTGATTAAATTTACGTTCAATAATATTTATAGTATAATAGTGTTAGCCTAATTGTTCTGAGTTTCGCAATACATACCTAATTACCTAGATAGTTTATACCCACTGCAATCTAAGGCCTAAATGAAGTACCTTTGTAGCTTGAAGGTTTTTAACCCTAGAAATTGTGAATTTTTGGAAGCTAAATGATAAAAAGTAGAGCTGCTGGTGTAGGTACGTGTCATGTTCGTGAACGGGCGAAATAAAACTCAATAATTTATAAGGCACAATACAATCTAGCTCTTATCCGCGACTTCGGCGCATGGACTTCAGTTTACAAATTTCAACCAACTTGCTAACGATGAACGTATTATGACTTGTAACAAACAATACGTAGGGACTTGAACGAACAACTCTGTTCGAGACTTTGAGTTTCGGAATATTAGAACCATTAGAACGGAAACTTTCGTTCGATTTTATCAACGCCTTAGAACAATTTAACCAACCAAAGACACCAAGTTATCAACTTTTAAACGCTTACTAAACGACAAATTAGCAGAGATATGGTGCAAAGGCTGTGGCAAACCTCAAAAGGTTGGGTAGGCATGAGTATTCCATAGCAAATCTTAACAGCGCGGTTTGGAAAACGGCGTCACCAACACAACGCACCAATCGGATAAGTATTTAGATTAAGTAAATAAAGAGTAAGTAATTTTCAGTAATCGGAGTAGATAGATTGAAATGGGGTCATTGATCCGAAACGTATTGTGACGGAAAAGTGGTTCAAACTCTTTGACATCATGACGTCAATGGATGGTTGTCAAGCGTTGCCTAGAGATTGTAAATTTCGTCGTGAATTGTCAACACGAGTTGGTGTAATCGGTAAGGCGCAGTAAGGCGTGTGGATTCCACCAGAGAGACCCCGAGTTCGAGTCCCGCCGTAAGCATGAAGTTTTTTAGTTGATGGAAGTTTTGTTGAACTTTCTGGAAGCTTTTGTGTGAAAGAAATGAAAAATTAAAGTTCTGGAGTCAGACGATCAAAAAGAATAACGAAATTGAATGTTCCAGAACCTGACCGGGGGTATATAAGCGGAACTGCGGCTCACCGCTGGCAGTTGAGTTCTAAGACCAGTCAGTCGTCGGTTACGTAGAGTAGTCATGTCACAACGTATTAAACGCTATGACATGACTACTCTACGTAACCGACGACTGACGCAGGATCTTATGTTTCTTCACAAATTGGTCAATAATAATAATTGAGCAGATAGGTCTTAAAGTACTACATAACATACCTAGATATCCCATTACACCTATTCCACACAAAGGCATCCAACACAAATGTAGGAGTAAACTCGCCTCTCAATAGGCTTACCCGAGACAAATTATTTTATAAAATCCGTTCTAAATGTTGACATACTACTCTGTCAATAAAGTATCGGGAAAAAGTCAATAATACACAAAATGTTTGTTACCTATTCATCTAAATTTATTTTATCACCTTCAAAGTATGCTCCTTTAGAAACGATACACTTACGCCAACGAATAATCCAATCATCGAAACTTTTTTTAAACGCTGTTTCTTTTTCGTTTATTGTATTGAAACGTCGAAATAATTTATTTTTGACCTAGGAAACTACCCAATTGTCGTAGTCGCTGACAAAGCATTACCTTTTTAAACGCTGGTAAAATTGAGACCGGCCTATAGTAATTGGGGTCTACAAGTTTATTATTTGCATCTTTAAATTTTTTACATAAGTAATTAATTTTACTACCTATAAAGGTTATGAAATAAAAGCCATTTACAGCATCATTTTGCCAAATTTATAATCGCTAGCAGAGCAATAAGTAAAGTGACTGGACAAGAAAGGGTTGAGACGGAGTTGTGGGGGCGCGCAGCGGCGGGTGAGACGTGCGCCTGCATGGCGCCCTCCCGCTGGGCCGGGGAGCTGGGCGGCGCCGTCGTGCTGGCCGGAGTCGCGGCCGTGCTCGGCGGCGGCGGCACGTCCTCGCCGCCGTAGTCGGCGCCGTTCTCGCCGTACTCGCCCGCCTTCAAGTACACGCGTGAGGTTCGCTCGGGTGCACCCTAGAAACACCCGGTCGCAGCACTGCGGCGCCCGAGAGGAGGTCTCGCTCTGGCCGCGAACGTTTACCTTGAAGTCGGGCCGGTTGGGTTCGAACTCGAAGGCGGGCCGCGCCGACGGCTGCGACGACTCAGGCAGCGTGGACTCCGTGCTGCGCGAGGGGGGCGTACTGCGCGTGGGGGGCGTCGCTCCCGCCGCCTTTCCCGGCCGCTTGGCTATACGCAATATATAAACGTCACAATGTTATTCCTCGTGAATTTGTTTCAAGAAATTGTAATGTTACTGGTATATTAACAGAGTCAAAACTCCAAGCAATATTATTTTAAAACAAAGTGTCAGATTGTCGGTAGACCTCTGGGGAAGCTCTCTGAGGAAAAGCCCGAGTGTCATTATTGTGAGGCCACTCAGTGGACAAGGTGGAGAATACAGTGACGATGTGCCCTGCTTGGGCTGAGCACCGCCGTGTTCTCAGGCAAGTGATCGGCGGCGGTGACCTCTCGAGCTTGGCCTTAGTCGTGGCCATGGCGCTGGGCGAGAGGATCTGGAAAGCCGTCTCTTCTTGCTGAGAAGCAGTTATGCTCGCAAAGAAGAAGGTGGATCGCGTGAGGGAGTTATCCTCCCCCTCACGCCCCCACCCGCTGCAGTAGGCGGTACTCCGGGCGTCGGGGATCGAGAGACGATCTCCGGCCACCATAAGCGTGGGTCTGCACCGTAATTTACAAATATTGACACGTACAACCTGCGCGAGCGCTGCTGACATTGCTAATTACTGTTGTATTACTATTGGGTACTAAAAGCCAAGATCTTCGAATAAGTCCGCGGGTGACAGGTTAACAGGGTCTTGATCATCATCATCATCAGCCTGTTGTCGTCCACTGCTGGACATAGGCCTCCCCAATTGCCATTGAGCTCGATGTCCAGCTCTTCTCATACAACCACTGCCAGCCACCGTCTTTTTTACCTAGTATACTACCTTACCTAAAGGTTATGAAATAAAAGCCATTTACAGCATCATTTTGCCAAATTTATAATTATCAACAGGGTCTTCGAATGACCCCAATTCGAATACATCCGTTTAAATGACTCCGGGCGTCGGGGATCGAGAGATGGTCTGCGGACGGCAAATAAGGGTAGCTCGCCGCCTGACCAGGATCAGACCTTAGTGTACGACACGTTAAAAATAGACCTGATATCGTCATGTACAAACCCACACATACTACATACTTACCTACTTATAAAATATGAACCTATTATGATTTATCTTTTTAAGAGATACTACTTGTTATAATAAATAAAGAAATTTTACAAGAGGATGGAGCAGGCAGAGAGTTCGTGCGATGGAAGGGAGACGTTTCGGCGTCGGGCGGCAGGCGGGGCCCGGCGGGCGCAGGCGCCAGCGAGGCAGGCGACGTGTCAGGCGCTCCGGGCGCTCCGGGCGCCGCGCCACCGCCACCGCTCGGCTCGCCCTCCGTCCCTGCCAGCAGGCGGTGCTCGCTACACAGCGCCGCGCACTCGCCCCCGCCGGCGTCCCCGGCCGCGTCCCCGGCCGCGCCGCCCGCCTCGCCGCCGCACGCGCGCAGCGTGTGGGCGCAGTGCAGGAAGCGGCGCCAGCGCGCCACGCTCATTGCCACGTGCGTCCTGCCGCACGACGCGTCGCGCGCCTCCGCCGCCGCCTCCGCCGCCGCCTCCGCCGCCGCCTCCGCCGCATCCACCGCCTCCGCCGCATCCGCCCCGACCGCCTCGGCGCTGCCGTCCGCGCTGCGCGCCGAGCGACTCAGCACACCGCACAACTTGCCGTCGCACACGACTCCGGCGCCCCAGTCGGATTGGCACAGCGTGGGGCCCACCAAGCACAGCGCCGAGTCGCGCAGGCCTGGCCAGCCGGGCGCGCTTTCCGCGCAAGCGTCGCCCTGCTCCAGCGTGGCGTCCACGATGCGCAGGCGGGGCGCGCGCGAGGCGCCGCGGGGCAGGGCGCGCACCACGTGGCACACGGCGCGCGGCGCGCACTCGCCGGCCTCCGTGGCCATGAGGATGGGCCGCGCCCGCGCGTCGCCGCCGAAGGGCGCCTCCAACTCCAGCACGGCCAGGTCCATGGCGGATCCGCTCCACGCGGCCCCCGCGCGGTCGGCCCCCGCCCCCGCCGCCAGCGCCACGCGCGCCACGCGGCGCAGGGCGCCGGTGCCGGGCGCCAGCGCCCAGAGGTCGCGCTGGGGCCGGGCGCCGGCGCGCACGCAGGCGGCGGAGGTGAGCGCGGTGCGCAGCGACACGAGGGAGCCGCCGCAGCGCCGGCCGCCCGGGTGCTCCACCACTATCTGCGGGCGCACGCTACGTCAGTCGCCGCGCCTCACCTACACGCTCCTACTACACACATCGTCTAATGTTTTGAGAAAAAAAACAAATTTGTAGTTAACATATGTAAGCATTATACATCTAGACGTAATCACTCCATCTATACTAATATTATAAAGAGGAAAGATTTGTTTGTTTGTTTGTAATGGATAAACTCAAAAACTACTGGGCCGATTTCAAAATTCTTTTACCATTGGATAGGTATTTTATCCCTGTGTGTCATAGGCTATGTATGCACCACGGGCGAAGCCAGGACGGAGTGCTGGTATATTATAAAGAGGTAAAATTTGTAAGTTTGTTTGTAGGGGGTAAACTTTGGAACCCCTGGTCGGATTCCCAAAATTCTTTCACTGATAGATAGTTACAATGTTCCTGAGTGCTATAGGCTATAAAACATCACCGAAACCGCGTGAGAGTAGCTAGTAGTATATAAACAAAGTTACTTTTTTTGTTCCTAAAGGCCTAGATGGAAAAGAAGCATGTTTAGAGGGATGAGAGAACAGGGTGGAAAGTTCCTCATCCTCCATTGAAAAGAGAGGATCCTCCAACCGTGCGGGTGTTCGTGCCTCGCGGGAAGTGATTGGTGCTGTTGATATTGTTGTGCGATAGATGTCGCTACACATGCTTACACTACGCAACGGATTTAGATGCGCTTTAATCAAAATCCTACGTAAATACCTATAGTAGGTAACACCTATTAAATGGTTGAAAAATGTTGTATCTGCATTGCACCCGTTCGAAGCCTGAGCGGTTCCCTAGTACCTACCTATCTATAGAATAAATGATGATTGTTGCTAAATGCCAAATCTCAAGAACGGCTAAACCGATTTTGCTAATTATCTTTCTTGTTATATTTGTTAATGTTAGATTTAGATTATATACCTAAAGAAAATTTAAGTAAAAGTAAAGGGCCAAATTGGAAACGGGCTACCCTTTCGATGCTGTGGCTCCCGTGCATAGCAACAACGAGCCGCTAGTGGAGCAGTACCAGTACTGCTACTGCTAGTACCCACCTATGTTACATCTCTTACCATAAACGGTGCTGAGTCACTTTCGTCTTCTTGCTCGGCCTCACGCTCTTCTGCCGCAGCTGACACCTTCGTCGTACTACTCTCTGGTATAAATGTAACAAATATGTAAACAAATGTTTCTTCATCGTGTTAAGCCATCATCATCATCATCAGCCGGAAAACCTCCACTTCTGGACAAAGGCCACCGCCTTAGTTTTCCTCATCAAAGTTAAAGTCAAAGTAAAAATAATTTATTCTTATATCTATTGTAACTTGTAACATCTTTGTATACCTACCATGTTTTTGTATGTTTATCTTTATCCGCAGATAAAGATAAAAATAATAAGTAATGCCAAATTGTTGTAACAATTTAAGTTAGGTACTTTATGTTACAAACATTTCAACATGACCTGTGCACACGTTACAGCAGCTCGTTCCGAAGTAGTCTTTCATTTTATAAAATGTTTTAGGTACAGTAAAGTGTACATACCTATTTAAATTTATTTAGACTCAAATTTTGAATATCGCTAGGAATTTTATTGAAAAGTCGAATAATTGACATATAATTAAATGATTATTTTCTGAAGCCTCTAGTGTTAGGTAAGTAATATTATGTAGCTGTATACTATTATACATATAGTGCTGCCACGCGGGCAACGCTGCGCACGAGTTTAAAGTTCGGCGCATTTTGTAAATGTGTTACGTTACTTATGGGGAGAGGTGTCACACACACTACAGAGACCCTACGAGTTAAAACGGGGCTGCTGGTGCAAACGCAATAATGTGCCACGGCCTCGGCTTGGTGCAGACGGAATGCTGTGATTCTTGTTCAAGGAGTTAGTAAGTCACTAGATGTTAGCAGCATTTAGCTTTCCAAGAAATTTAACAGCTTCTCTTTAGAATAGACGAACTGTACACACGATATACTCATAATATAGCCTAGGGTAAAGCAGAACACAAAGACAAGCGAGTACCTAGTAGCGCCCCGCGCGCGGCGGCCGCCAGCAACAAGGCCAGCAGCGCGGCCCTCATGGCATGTGTCTGCGCCGCCTTGTAACAAAACAGTTCCGCTTGCAGCCTCGTATCGCACTCCTTACATTACAAATGCCACTGTAAACACTACGCTCATTTTCATATTGTCAGCGTCAATAGCGGGGACGACATATTGCGTCACTTGTAACCTGAAAGAGTTTGATAGTGAACATTTGTGAAACCATAGATACACTTCAAGAAGGTACCAAGTTGACATGGTTCTGGCTGTTTCTGCAAAATAATTGTTAAATACGATGCCTGGAAATACAATATCATTTGTAATTTAGTTAATTCGGAATGAGATTTGGTAAATGATCGCAGTGATTCAGAGTTACAAGGGATACCTGGATCGTATTACTACATATAAATTTCAATAAAAGGTACATATAGTCGTATGCTGGCAAAGAGAATATAGTACAGTGTATATATGAATACTTACATACAGTGGTTATATTGTCATTGTATGCTGGATATCTTTGATCAGTCTTTATTTTTATTTATTCCTTACACAATATGTATGTTTACAATTTGATTTAAATTAACATTTATAAGTGTAACAATTACTTAGGTTAAAACCACATGCACAATTTGTTATTAATTTTTTTGCCAAGTTATATTTGTTTCTCATTACTAAGATTTGAAAAAATGCGTTTTCCTTGAAAATGTTTAAAAAAGAACCCTAGTGTGATATATATTTTTGTAGGTACCTAATGTACGCTCGGGTCTGGTTTTGGCCGGGCGGCGAATTACCCTGACTCGCCGTCCGCAGACCCGCGCTTACGGTGGCCGGAGATCATCTTTCGATCCCCGACGCCCGGAAAGTCGCCTTCTGCAGCAGCTGAGGCGTGAGGAGGAGGTTAACTCCCGCCTCTTTCTTTGCGAGCATAACTAAGTAAATAAATACGTATACGTATGCTCCACCGTGTCCTCTAGGGGGTCCTCACAATGACGACAATCGGGCGTTTCCTCCCACCGGATCCGAAACAGGAACCTACCGAAGTTGGCATGCCCGGTAAGAACCTGCGTTAGACCCAAGGTGAGATCGCCGTGGATCTACAAATGTTGAGAGTTCTGCACTGTATGTAATAATAATCTCAAATAGAAACATATTATTAGGCTGAACGGCACCAAGAACATGTTCTTGAAAATACCTGACTCGCCATTAATACGTCTACCAAGGCGTCTACGGGTAAAGACACCTCATTGCTTATCGTAGGTATAATCGCGGACTGTTACGGCGGTGGTGACAATCTTATATCTCACAAAATAATTTACTACCACCCACTTAACCTAAATATAAGAACATATATCGCAATACTATGATTCAGTGTTCACGTGCGACGGCGCGATGGCTTATTAGCGTATATAATGTAATAAGTTTAGTGTAGGTATATAGGTACAGAAATATTTGTATGCCTGAGTATGGTAGAATGTGCTGGAATCAAAACTGTAACATCTATTGTACCATATTCTGACAAATAAACAATTTTTTTATTTTATTTAAATTGAGTGTTTCTATCGATTTCTATGATTTTTTTTTTAGGGATAGGTAATTAATATAAAAGTAAGAATAAAACAATAAAATCAGAATGCTCCGAACTGCTTATCTATCAGGAGATACACGTGATATTGTGAGTCGACCATAAAAGATATAGGGGAAAGGAAGGCAAAGCGGACCACTTAACAAAAAACAACTATAAAAAAGAAACTATTCGGTTTTATTAAACTTCTTCAAAGTAATATTAATCAACATTCTTTACTCTACATTAGGTAGGAATCAGACTTTGATAAAATCAAAGACAATGAAGATATTAGTTGATTTCTAATACCTTCAATATGTCCGTTTTACCTTCATGTGGTAGGCAAAATGGACCACACATGAAGGCAAAACGGACTTACATAAAATTAATCAGTTAGCACATTTTTCTAGTTACAAATGAGAACAGTACAGACACTCAGTGTCATCTTCCTCAGATGAACTATAATTGTTTTTAGTTTTTGACCTTTTTACATCAGATATATTGCTAGCTTTTCCTTTTTTTGAAAATTTTCGTAAAGTTTTCTTGATTTTCTTTTTTCCTGTCTTACTTTTTGCTTCTCTTTTTATAGGTTTCATGTCTTTCTGGAAAATAGGTGCTTTCTTGATCTTCTCAGCCTGTTTATTTTGAGAAGCTTCCACTTCAAGGCGGTAGGGTGATGACGTAATAATTGCTGTTTTACCTCGTTTGACTTTCTCGATTGCATTTTTCATGCTGGCTTCATCTCAGGAATTTCGATTGGATTTTCTTTTATAATTATTTACCATCTGTAACCAAATCAAAAAAATAAATGGAAACATTATTTTCTTCTATTTTTATTGCATTTAGCTTTATTAACATTCACATTACTTTATAGAAGGCAACACGGTCCCAGTGAAGGCAAAATGGTACACCGGTCCGTTCTGCCTGGGTCCGTTTTGCCTTTTTGGTACTTACAAGAAAATCGAATAATTTAAAGGTTATAAATTTGAGAAACAGTTGGGTTACTTTGTTATTCGTTTAATCATATATCAGTTTACATATGGTTATCATAAGATCACCTTATTACAAATCTAATCAAACTGTAGGCTAATTGAAAAATGCAATTTTTACATCAAAATCTAAAAAAATCAACTTACCTTGCTAAATCGGTGTACGTGCGGCCGGTGGATCTGAGTACACTGACCGAAAGCGGCAACATGGCTTCCAATAATTTGACGTAACAATCAGATAGATGGCGTTACATGTTTCATTATAATCAAGGTGGACCTTTTTGCCCACAGGGTCCGTTTTGCCTTCCTTTCCCATATACTGTTGTAGGATATTTTATAGGAAATTTTATGTAAAACATTCCCGTGGTACATGGTTTCTATGTAACTGTAACCATTGCGACTGCGCACGCAACGAAAGCTAAAAAAATGGAGTAACCTCTACCATTTACTCAACATTTCCCTTTAGTGCTCTGCTTCTATTTTTTCCATAAATAATGAGCTTCTCCTTATTATCTAATAATTGAAGTGAAGGCATTACTATATTGACCAGTTACTATAACAGTTTCCGTTTCATTCTTGAAATATATTGAATAAGTGATTCAATTTATTTTTATTTGGAGTCGAACTGTAAATCCCTCCGGAATGTCTACGTTTATGTACTTCGAAACTGACAGACATTTCATCATTCAGTTGTTCGAGCGATATTGGGGGCGTTATTGCAGGCGATTACAGGATTACTAGCTCCAGTGGGGCCCACATATACCTAGATGGCTTGTCGAAGAAGCTCAGTTCTGCAGCATATGCCGTTAAAAAAATTAGAAATTTAACAGATGTAGATACAGCGCGGTTAGTTTATTTTGGTTATTTTCACAGCATCATGTCATACGGTATTTTGTTGTGAGGGAATGCTGCTGACATCCAGTCTATTTTTGTTCTGCAGAAAAGGGCTATTCGATCAATCTATAATCTTAGTCCGAGGCATTCGCTCAGAGAATTATTTAAGGAATGTAAAATAATAACAGTTGCCTCTCAATATATTTATGAAAATGTAATTCACGCTCATAAAAACAAAAGCTTATTTAAGAAATATAGTGATATACATAATATCGACACGAGGGGGAAAAACAAATATGTTGTGCCTGCCTCCAGGCTTCAGAAAATAAGTAGTTCGTTTAGGTGTCAATGTATACGCTTTTACAATAAAATTCCTAGCGATATTCAAAATTTGAGCCTCATAAAATTTAAAAGTGTAATAAAGGCTAAACTTTGCTGTAAAGCATTTTATAAAATAAAAGACTACTTAGAGGATAGTCAGGCTTGGGAATGAGCCGCTGTAATGTCTGCACAGGTCATGTTGACATGTTTGTAACATAAGTTACACTTTTATATACAATTTGACATTACGTTTATTTTTTTAATACAATGACATGATCACCTATTGTGACATTTTTATTTTTTATTTGACATTTTTTTTTATTTATTTGTTGACATTTTTATTATTTTATATTATTGTTAGTGTAAGGACCGTGTGAGACTTGCCGTGCCAGTCACCAGTCATCTGCGTTCTGACAGTTTGAGTACTTGCGCGACCCACCCAAATGTTCTTTTGATCGGTATTGTTCGTCGGACAACTCAACAGCACTAGCTATATGGTTGCAAACTGACACTTGCGTGCCTGTCTTCAGAACGAATTCACTTAAACTGGTGTGGTTCTTTCCTCAAAATACCACTACATAATGAACTTGCACGGTTCTCTTACATTATGTTATTTTATATTGTCTGGACTTGAAAAGAGACTGACCTCTGAGTTTGTTTCGGCATTTCTTCTCAGAGTAGTCAGATAGGAAATGCCGGCTTCATCTAGTTTTTCACATATAATTTGACGTGTAAAAGTGCCGTTTTATGGACTATTTGCAAAAATAAATTCATTGTTTCATTGTTTCACTACGTTATTTGTTTGGGAACAGTTTTAAGATAAGTAAGTAATAAAAAGTAGAGTCATTTTACTAGACATTTTTATTGTGAAACATCATGGCGCCTGCGACGGGTCGCGGGCGGCGTCCGGGCGCGCGAGCTCTTCGGGCAGCGCGTGCAGGCGCAGCGCGCGCTCCAGCATGAGGTCGGGCAGCGCGGCCGCCTGCGCCGCCCAGCACGCCGCGCCGCGCACGCACACCCACTTGTGCTGCGGGAACTGCTCCAGCGCCTCCAGCAGCGCCGCGCCCGCCCGCGCCGCCGGCCCGCGCGCCTCCGCCTCCAGCCGCGCCGTCGCCAGCAGCGCGCCGCCCGCGCCGCCGCGCGCCAGCCGGGCCGCCACGCGCGCGGCGCGCCCCGCCAGCGGCGGCGGCCAGGCGGCGCGCGCGGCCTGCAGCAGCGGCGGCAGCAGCGCGGCGAGCGCGGCGCGGTGGCTGCGCGCGGCGCCCGCGACCTCGCCCGGGGAGTAGCGCGCCCAGGCCCACAGCGGAGCGCCGCCGCTGGCTGTGTCGGAGGAGAGTTCGTTCATTATTTTATAACTCTTCCATTATTTTACTTATTCTGTTTGTCTTCTCAGATTAAGCATAATAAAATAAACCTAATATTTATAGCACTGATAATTTCATAATTTACGCCTTCCACCATAGACTAATAATTTTATACACACCGCAGGAGAAACCACGACCGAAAATCTAGTTTGCTACAATGTTTGCCATGCCTTCGTCTGTCATGAACAGAGCTGAAATTTGGCACCTGGCACACACTAATATAATAACAAAAAGTGAAAAAAATATTATAGTACCAAGGTGGTACGAGATTAGTACCATAGCAAGATATTTATCACTACAAGTAAAGAAGAGAGTGTTATGATAGTAGGTGCCGTTAGTGTGACGCTCTATGACCGTAACTCTATTTCTTTAAATTGTAATTAACTTACAATTTCCCCCTGTTTTTCCAATTTGTCCCTACTTTTCCCAGGGTACAAATTATTCTTTCGTTTCAACCCTAACGTGTGGTATTGTATCTTGTTGGATAGGTATTTAATAATAAACATGGGTTTCACAAGATTATTTTTTGCTAATGTTAATATTTTCTGAAATAATAATAAAAAAAGTACTCTTTGGAACCGTGGGGTTCATGCTAGAAGAGCTCCCCGTGGTGCGTGCGACGGGCGACACCCTGCCAACGAGTAGCATTGGGGCACTAGCTGCGCCCGACTGCACCCGTCGATACCATAATCCGGGAAGAGATCATGGCCATGTGTTATGACTCGGACCGAGAAAGGATCTTGGCTTAACAACTGCTTACCGCGAGGAAGATAACCTCTATAAAAATTCCTCCAATACTGAGTTCTGGTGCGCGGCGAGAGTATGTATGGCTGAGGATTGGCATCAGTCCCCAGATAAGGGACCGGTGGACCCTAGTTGGGACACAAATGTACACTTACCCAGGGACAGGGGCAATGACGATATAACCTCTTGACGGCGTATACAGTGCCCCGACGCTCGAAGACGATTAGTATTTTGTCGCCATGTCTAGGCCTCGGTACTAGTAACCATTTAATTGTGTCCAAGTGTTAGACCTCTAGACACGCAAAATAAAAGTATTTTCCTTCCTTATTATTGCAATTTTATCGCATCAAAATGCAATCATGCGCGATAAAAAAGTGTAGGAAACATTCCAAGATATTTAGGTACAAAAAAGATGGCATTACACTTAAACAAGCAAGGAATTTTGCTGTGGGGTTGAGCTGCGGATGTAGAATCAATATTTATTTTGCAAAAGCGGGCTATCCCAGCGATATATAACTTGCCCCTTCGTAAATCTCTGAGAGAACTATTAAAACGATAACCTAACGGTGCCTTATCAGTTTATATATGAAAATATTATGTACGTAAGGAAAAATTTGCAATTATTTGAAAAAAGAAGCGATAGACATAATTTTAATACTAGAGGCAAAGATAGGCTGGCTGTGCCACGATTCCGTCTGTCCAAAGTACAGAAATCCTTTATGGGGTTCTGTGTAAATTGTTACAATAAAATTCCAAGAAGTGTATTAAATCTTAATGAACGAAACTTTAAAACTTATATTAAACGCGAATTGTATAGACAGGCATACTACAAACTTTCAGATTATATTGAGGATAAGAATGCCTGGCAGCATGTTGGTTCGGCTCCACTGGACAACACTCAAATATGTAGTCAGTAGTTATTAAAATTCTCAAAATTAATGAAACCTTGAATGAGTTTATATAGAAGCATTCTTTTGGATTGTGAGTACGCATATGTGAGCGCCATGTTCGAGACAACAAAGGATTAAAATTTTAATGATAGATTAGATAGACCATCATTTGTTCCTTTTTACATATTAACAACTTGTCTCTGCATTGTTCTCACATAGGGGTACAGTAATGTATAAAAAAATATTATTGGTGAATTGTAAAACAAATATTTTTTTAAAAAGAGTAACGATGGAGTTTCTTGCTCGTTCGTCTCCATTCGAAACTAGAATTTGGAACGAGCAAATAGCTTCACTGACGAACAGACTGACAGACTACTATTCTATTTTGACGTTTCAAAAGCACCTATTTATGGTTTAGTTGAAATAAATGATTTGATTTGATTAAAAAAAAACACACTGATGATACGCACGTTGATGTCTTTTGTAAAAGTCTCGTTCTTTCACTAAGCATTTCTAATGCTGCTGTCCCTTTCTTTCCCTTTGTATTTTATTGTAAATATCCGTGCGGTAATTTTTAAATTTTTAATAG